CTACACCCTAACCATTCTAGTGGTTGTAGAGTTAAATGAAGCCTGATCTTTGCCTTCAGGAGATGCACTATCTAGTTGGGAACATGAGTAAGGGATGGGGGCGGGGGAGCAGACACTCATGCTTTGCATAGCTTTGCCATATCTGACCTTCCTTGCTGGACTATAAATTCTCAGTAGACAGACACCATGTTTTATTCAAGCAGAGCCTGGGTCAGGGCTTGGCAAATAGTAGCATCTGAATGAACAAATGACTCTCTACCATGGCATTTATAGGTGCTAGTGGAGTGGAATGCCACAGAAGTATTCAAGAGATTAATGGAAGTACCAGCCAGGTCAGGAGTAGAGCCTTCAGGGGTAAATACCACGTGGAAGTGCCACGCTTCCTTCACCTTGACCTTTGCCTAGTGTTTCCTCTTTCATTTCCCTCAGAGTCAAGGTCAGGCTTCAAGGCCAACTCTTTAATGATTCATCTCAGAGCCCCCTTTCTTCTCCCCATTAAAGGTATCCAAAGACAACGCCTATCTTTTCCAAGCAGTTCTTACAACATTCTAGGTTGTATCAAAGATATCTTTGTAGACATTTGAGTCCTTCCTTATTTAGTCCATAATTTTCTCAGCGGATTCAGCTCATTTCTCAGCCTCTTTGTCTATTTCTTACACAGGAAGGAGTTTAATAAATGTTGGTTAAATTAACACATTGAATTTGGCACAAAGTCACTTCTTTCTTTTCACTGTCTGGTGTGGCACCTCCCTGCCACATATCCTCACCCTTCTCGCCAAGTCCCTCCACCTGAGTCTCTAATCAGTCACCCACGTCACAAGCCCGTGGGGTGAACAAGAGCTCCGGAGCCACAATAGTGAAGTTCCAGTGTTGTTTAGAACTGGGGAGACTCTGAAGGGCTAGTCTTATATTCTGGCTCTCATAGGATGAAAAAAAAAATTGAGCAAGGGGATCAGTGTGAAGGCATTTCTGATTCACAATCTCATGATGAAATGAGTTGAACTTCCCTCTCTAGTCAAACATGGAACTCTGATTTCACTAATGCACCTGACATTCACTAAGCTCCTCGCATGTGCCCGGAATTTTACTGAGAGCTAGATTGATAAGGACTAAGAAGTCATGACCTCTTCCCTGTAGGAAATCACAGTCTACCAGGGGATGCAAAGGCCCTCCAGCGCTGCACAGTGTACACTTCTGTCGTCCTTCTGTAAGGTGCAGAAATACTTATCCCGCAAGGCTGTTGTAAGGATTAAGTGAGCAGAATGTGTAACACATTCATCCTGGGGATGTGCAGAGAGGACATTCAAAGGACAGTAGCTCCTTTCTGCCATTAAACCAACTGTACAGTTCTGTATAGTAGCTGTTGAAAGAAGTTAAGGGTAACCTGCTGTCTTAGTTTGTTCAGACTGCTATAACAGTTGGCTTCTAAACAACAGACATTTATTTCTCATGGTTCTGGAGGCTGGGGATTACAAGATCAAGGTGCTAACAGATCAGGTGTCTGGTCAGGGCCTATTTCCTCATTTTTTTAAAATTTTTTTTATATTTTATTTTTTTTATTTCGGCATATTATGAGGGTACAGATTTTAAGGTTTCAATAAATGCCCTTTCCTCCCCTCCCCCCACAAGTCTGAGTTTCCAGCATGACCATCCCTCAGATGGTGCACATGTCACTCATTATGTATGTATATACCCACCCCCCTCTCCCCTCCCCCCTACCCAATACCCTATTACTGTAGTACCTCATTTATCGATGGCTAACTTCTTGCTGTGTCCTCACATGGAGGAAGGAGTGAGGGAGCTCTCTCAGGTCTCTTTCATAAGGGTCCTAGTCCCATTCATAAAGCTCCACCCTCATCATATAATCACCTCCCAAAGGCTCTCCCTCCAGACACCATCACCGTGGGGATTAGGTTTCAACATAGGAATTTGCGGGGGGACACAGACATTCAGTCTGTTGTACCTGCTTTCAAGTCAGTCACTTCCGAGGTGACTTATATTTCTCATATTGGAGAGAGATCTGTCACCTGGTATTGCATTAGAGCTTTCATATTCATAAGAAACCCAAATAATAATCAAAATAACTCCTGTTGGTTGAGATGTCACCGTGTGCCTTGGACTTTGCATATTATGATGAACACTGTGAGGTTGCACCAGGATCCCCAGTTAGCACCCAGGCACTCCTTCCCCCAACTGCCAGGAGTGTTGATAGCTGGCCACTGTCAGCGGGGTCCTTCTTGGGGAAGTGACCTCCATTCAAAAGGTCACTCCATCCAAGGTTCTGTCCCCTCCCCAGGGATAGCCCACAGCCTGTGACTGGTTAATGTGGGGGTACAAAGGCCTGACACCCTTGTCTTGATTTGTAAAAACAGAAGTACCTTTCCAGCTCCAGAAGGATCAGCTGAGGGCTTTGCTGTACCTGCATGGCTGTTTGACTTTTCCCTCTTCCCAGTTTTACTTTGCTCATCCTCTTCCAAGAATTCGCCTCCCAGTACCTCCCAAAAGCCGGTGTCTGCCTTTGATTCTGTTTTCTGGTGATCCCGACCTAAGACAAATGCATTGTCTCATTTAATCTTTATATCAACCCTAAGAAGGGGGAACTGGTATCCACACTTCTCACTAACTGAGGGTCTATTTTCTTGTCCAAGTGTGCAGAACTAGTAAGCGACAGGGTGAGCATCTGAGCTCGTATCTTGCTGATTCTATTCTCTTCATCACTGCGCTGTGCAACTTTACTGAAGCAGTAGGATTAACCAAACTCAGCCCTGGTACACAATTCAGTATCCATCTTTCAGTCTTTAGTGAGAATAAATACAAGAATTATCCATTTAAACAGCATGACTGTGCTTTTTAAAAGAAAAATCTGTACTTGATACTGATATTCAGTGCCTTGCTCAAGGACCCATGTGACATATTTCTACCCGGGCTTATTTCCAGGGGGGAAATATGGCTTTGCAGAGAGATTTGCATATCTTCTCTTGCCAGAAATTTGAAATATGGAATTGAACAGATTCCTTCCTCTTTTTGCTTTAGCTGCCAAGGACTTTAGGGCCAACATAAATGTGGTCATTTACTGATCTCAGAGCCTGATGCTATCTACTTCTTCCACTTCACATAGACACCTCTCATTGCCACCAAAAGCCATGCTGTCCACTGTGCCTTCAGTTAGGTATTCATTTGATAGGATGATAGAAATCATAGTGTTTGTGTGCATTAAAGAAGATAATCATTGCTGTTTGTGCTCTTACCCTTTTCAGAGAAGCTTCTCCACCCATAGCCTTAGACGCTCAGGCAGCCAGGTATGGCCTGATGTGATCCCACCTCTCTGGCCACCACCTGTTGGGCCACACCTGGGCACCAAAGCCAAAGGGAGTCCACCCATAGGTCAGCCAGCAATGTGACCTGACAGAGAGGCCCCTGTCAAACCCATAATGATGCTTATAAACTTAATCCTTCCTTGGGGAATTTGAATTGCATACATGGAAAGATTTTATTTTGGTTGATAATGAGGTAGAGAGAGGCAGACACAGAGAGAAGCTGAGTCATGTTAATTACGAAACACAATTTCCAGTCTCCTGTAGCTGATCTGCCATGAATCGAGATCCACTCTTCAAGTCCAGTTTTATAAAGCCTGCCTGGTCCTGTTTGGATGCATTATTTTTCCCCCTATGAGATTCTTCCTCTGCTTTTTTCCCCCTATGAGATTCTTCCTATGCTGTGCATTATTGCTACATATATATAATCACCATTTGCAACCCATATGCAGCCATTCTTAATGGGCGTCTGTTTCTTGCCTCCCAAAAAGTATGTGTATATGTGTGTCTGTACATCTGCATGTGTTTACAATATATATGTATGTGTATGTTACACATTCATATATAATATATTAAAATATACATATATGTGTTATTCTCATTAATCCATGATGCCCCTCATTAATCCATATACATATAAATATACACACATGTATGAGAGGAGCATTTCAAAGTGAAGATTGTGAAGATTGTTCTATACAAGTGTTCAAGAAGAAATCTTAGCCATCATTGAAAAATTGGTAATTTATGATAAAAATCGGAATTTTCAGCCTCTCCTGAAGAAAATCTAAAGATGTGGTACCACTGGCCTTTAGTTCCAGGTGACAAGAGTTGGCTGGAGCTGGGTCACCGATGTCCCATTAGGTGCAGCCTGCATTGTCCATTGTATCCCAAACCCCACCTCTCCCTATTGTTTCTCAATATCAGGGCATTTTTTATTGTTTGAGTGCTGCTTTTTTCCTTAGAAGTGCAGGGGATTTATTTGAAAAATCTCTCTTTGTCTCTGTCTCTCTCTGTCTCTTTCTCTCTGTTAATCTCTATCTCCATCTCTGTTTCTCTGAGAATGCAAAAGGAAACAGCACCTGTGTGGTCAGGAGCCTGGATGCTACTTTCCTGACACCCAGCCAGTCTCCCCCACTGATAACACCCACCTGGTCCTGAAGGCATCAGCAACCCCTGCTCCAAAGGGGATACCTGGGTGACACAGACATTAGCTTCTTACTTTTCTTTTGGAATTTAATATTTAATCATTCTTTACGAGATCAAGTCAGGTACTGGCTGAGCATTTTCTCTGCATTAATTTATTTCATTCCAGGAGGCAGGTTCAGTTAATATTCCCATTTGCAGATGAAGTAACCAAGGAGTGACTTGCCATGGAGTGACTTGCCCAAAGTCCATAGCTAGTAAGGACAGATCTAGGACTTGAACTCACGTCCTTCTCCATCTCAAGGGCCTCCTCTTTACCACTGGGCTGAATCCTCTCTCGTGTCTGATTTGGCTGTCTCTGTTGGCTTCTGACCCCATGGCCTTGCACAAGGCGAATGCTCTGTAAATGCCTGTGGCCAAGTGAGATCAGGTGTCCTGGGGCGTGTGGCTTGTGTGCACCTCTCTGGGTGCCTGCAGCATCAGCACTGAGACCCTGAAACTGGGGAGAAAGTAGCTGTCTTTCTCTCTGTTCCCCCACAGGGAGCAGCTTCGTGGTGAGCGAGGGGAGCTACCTGGACATCTCCGACTGGTTAAACCCAGCCAAGCTGTCCCTGTATTACCAGATCAACGCCACCTCCCCGTGGGTGCGGGACCTCTGTGGGCAGAGGACGACAGACGCCTGCGAGCAGCTCTGTGACCCAGAGACTGGTAAGCCATGGGGGCTCTGGCTGGGGCTGGGGTGGGGGTTGAAGGAGGGTGTGCGCTCCCTCTGCCTAAAGAACTGTGGATCCTGAGCCAGTGACAAGGGGCTCGATGTAAAGATCCGTCAGTCTAATTGATGCTACACTATGTGCTGCCACTGCTTGTCAAGGGAGGAAATTCTCAGAGAACCACAGAATCTCAGAGTTGGAAAGGACCACAGATGACATCTAGTCCAATTCCAGCAAAAGCAAAGGGTCTGAATGTCCTCAGACACATCCCTGAGTTCAGATCTGATCTGCCTCTTACTAGCTGGTTGCTCTTTAGCGAGACACTGCCTATCTTTGAGTACCAGAGGCAGACAGTAACACCTAACCTGCAAGCATGTTATTTGGATTAAATGATAAAATGCATGGAAGTCTCCTAGCATGTTCATTTATTCATTCATTCAACAGATATTTCTCAAGTAGCCAGGCACATGTTTTGGTGTTGAGAACACAACAGTGAACAAAATAGGTAAAATTTCCACCCTCATGAAGCTTACATTCTATGGGGGAGACACTATCTAATACGGTAGCCACTAGCCACATGTGGCTATTTATTTTAAATTTATTAAGATTAAATACCATTAAATATCCATTTTCCCCAGTCACACTAGCGAGATACCAAGTGCTCCATAGCTCCATGAGACAATTGGCTACTTTCTTGGACAACACGAATATAGAACATTTCCATCATTCTGGAAAGTTCTATCGGACAGTGCTACAATACCCAAACAAACAGGCGAATGTATGGACTCTGTCTAGTGATGGTAAATGCTGGTGTTAGGGGGAGGAGTACATGGAACTGAGCACATGGAGTGCTCAGCTTGGAGTCTGGGTGGCATCAATATATATGGAGAGTGGCCAGGGAAAGCCTCTCTGAGAAGGTGACATTTGAGTAGGCACCTTAAGACAGAGCCTATATAGACAGAGCCATGCCAGTGTCTGAGGAAGAGGGCTCTAGGCAGGGGAACTGCAAGAACCAGTGCTTTGCAGCAAGAGTACACATACTTGCCTTTTGCTGGGCACCAGCAGGGAGACCAGGATTGCTGTAGGGGAGTGAGAATAGGGAGAGGGAGGAGGTGAAATCTGAGAAGCAGAAGGTTTGGGAGGGAGGTGGTACTTCAGGGCCTGGAACAGGATGGTGTGGACTTTAGATATTACTCTGAGTGAGATGGAAAGTCATTAGAAGATTCCGACCGAAGGAGCATCATGATCTGACCTAGGTCTTCACGGGACCACTCTGGCTCCTGGGTGGCCAATCAGTTTAGGGGCTGCTCAAGAGGCCTATTATTTTCATCTGGGAAGGAGTGAGTAGTGGCTTGGACCATGGGGGTATGGGGAGAAGGTGATGAGAAATGATCAGATTCTGGATGTATTTAGAGAGTATAGTCTTGTCCAAACTTGTTACTGGGCATGTGCTGGGTGTGGAGGTTTACAGTGTGCCTGTTACAGGATACTTCTTTTATCTGGTGCATGGCCTAATTCCTGATTTTCTGACCTGTGACCAGGGGTCCCTCACACAGGAAATGTATTTATAGTGGCAGATAGCCTTGTGGCTCTTGTCTAACCTGTGTCCAGTTCATGCCTTCCTGAGCATCACCCAGGCACTGGGACCCTGTCCTTGTGTTCTCCCCGGCATTCTGGGCCTGGGAGAGCCCCTGGTCCTTCAGATGGAAGGCACAAACTCAATACACCAGCACAATAGGAAACAAGTCCAAAGATCTATTACTTATGGAACCTGAGTTGGGAGGACAGTTCTGTGCCCCCAGCTCACTGGAGGCAGGAATGAAGAGAGAGACAGAGAGAAGGAGGCAGCTAGCTGTATATATATTGGGGAATAGATTGTGGGCGAATGTTTGAATGATCTCTTTAAAGGAAACTGCAGGAAATCCGGGAACCCAGTCTGCTAGGTAGGAAAGATGCCTATAAGTTCCTAGCCCTGGCCACTGGCTGGGGCCATTCGGGTGTGGTGTTCTACTTCCAGTGCCCAGGCAGCTACCTTTGCTGCCATGTCCATTACAAGCAGATATCTGATCAGCCACACTGAGGAACTGGAAGGAAGTATAGGACTAGAAACTGTGTCAAGGGTGACCAAGCCCTGCTCCTGCTAAGAAAAAAAAAAAAAAAAAGTTAAACTTCTATTGAAAGAAGGTGTCAAGGCAACACTAGCTTATAAGCGTTCACTACAGGTCCATAACTCAAATTCGAAGAAGAGATCATAGCTGGAGATAGAAATTTACTATTTAACAGCATCTAGATGGCATTTAAACCCATGAAACACTATCTTATTTATACCAAATGCTAAATGGACACTATCTTACTCATAGTTGGTGCTCAATAAATGATAATTCCGATTTTTCACAAATAGAGAAATGAGGTAGAGAGAGAAAGGGACTTGCTGAGGTTACAAAGTTAGAAGCGGAGCTAGGATTAGAACTTCATGTCTCCATTCCCCTGGCCATCTGCTCTTCCCTACAGTTTGAATTGGTCTGTTTTCTCTGGAAGTTCATCTCTGTCTCCATTTGCAAGAGTCTGACCAGCCTGTATGGAAAAGTCATTGCACGGATACCATGACGACAGCCTCTGTGCAGAGGGCAGCGGTCCTGGTGCTCTGTGCAGTGGCCTGGGGCAAGGGTCTGCTTCCTCTAGCCAATTATTTCTCTACTTCTCAATGGGGCATCTGTTCAGAAGTAAGGAGAGGGCTTCTCCAGGCTAACTCTTGTGTCTTCGCAGTCTAGGGCCAGGATTTGCCTTTACAACCACCATTCCCTCTTATTCTTTAGTCAAGAGCCTGTTCAGAATGCATTTTTGCAGCCTTTAAATAGGCCAATTGGGGAAGCTATTTGGAAATGCAATGTAGCTCTTGTGCATCATCTGATCAGGCAGCTAAAGCTTCTTTCTCTTAATCAAGACTTGTAGGCTTTAAGTCACTCCCCCCAACCCAAACACACACACACACACACACACACACACACACACACACTTATCTTCACCCAACAATCGAATAAGGCCTTGCAGAATTATATATCTCTGGGTCAGATCCCTTAGGTATCCTTTTTCTTTTCTTTTCCTTTTTTCCTTGAAAAGGAATCAAGGTTGTTGGTGGACAGGAACAGAAGGGAGCCACTTCTTTGCCTCCCTCTATGAAGCCCATGCTGGGCTAGTGGTGAGTGCTTGCAGCTCTGAACTCTGGTTTCCCAGCTGATCTGCTTTCAGGGGCAAGTTTGTGGTTTCTAATGATATTTTCCATTAACCACAAGCTTGAGGGCATAATTTTAGACGGCGGGTCATCCAAAGAGCAGGTATGAGTGAGCCAGTTTGGAAAATAAGCAGTTCCTCCACCAGTATTCTCTAGAATTAAAACACACACAACCCTTAGAGGTGGAAGGTCACTAGAATCCACTGGGTTCACCTCCCCAACTTCATCATTGATGCCCAGAGAAGGCAGGTGACAGGACTAAGGTCACACAACTGGCAGCTTGCAGAGCCAGCATTGAGACCCAGGTTCCCCTGCTCTCAACCAGCACTTACCATGGCTCATTCGGTCTGGAGTGGAGCCTAGGACTCTGCATTTATAACAGACTGGCAGCTACGGCTGGTGCTTCTCGTTCAAGGAATACCCTTGTTGTAGCAAGACTCTACACACTCCCAAATGCTCCTCTCACGTTCTGCACGCACAGCGAATGGCTCAGCTGCCAAATTTGCTAATTGAGTTATTTTGACAAAATCACGTTCACTTCTGTCCACCTCATCTCCTGCCTCTATTTGTTTTGTGCTCTGGGTTCTAGATACTCCAACCAACCACCTGCAGGCCCCTGAAGGCACCATGCCCTCCCATACTTCCATCCCTTTCGCAAGCTGTTTCCTCCCCTTCGGATGTTTTTCTCCTTCTGCTGGGTGGCCAGGGGCTTCTTTTTATTTCCTTCACTTTCAACCCAAACACCCTTCCTTCCTTTTCTGGGTATTTCTGACTGCCACTATCCCTGCCACAGATTGCCACCCCTCTTGTCCCTCTGCAGAGTCATCGCCCTTTCCTTGTCTGGATAGATCACCAGACTGTAAACTTTGTAGGGAGCTAAGGCTGGAGGCTCCGAATGTGTGTCTCATTCATCTCTCTGTCTTTCAAACTCAGCATAATGCCTGACATATAATCATCAGACAGAGAATAATGGAAGCAGGAAGGAAGGAGGCAATTTCTCTCCCTGTGAGCCTTGAAACAATTGTGTACTGCAATTCTAGTGCCTTCCTGCAAATCTGCTCACACAAGAACTCAGATTCAATACTTTGCAGCTCTAGAAAAACCAGGTCACAAAACACTGCCCAGAAGCCAGGCATCTGAACTCTAGGATGCTCTGGCCTCATCCTCCCATTCGGCCACACCCCTGTGAGCATCCGTCCTGGATTGCCCACTCTGCTCACGCTGTCAATTGTCCCACAACACCCCACACAGAGTTTCACCTTCTGATTCAAGTTCATCTCCTCCCTCCTCCCTAAAATGCCTTCCATCCTTTATCATCTACCCTTTAATATCTGTTCTTTAATCATCCACCTTCCGCAATCCTACTCATTTATTTGCCTGTTTCCTTTCAGTAGAATGGACACCATTTTTTACAGAACCATCAGAATTCTCCATTGACTACACACCAAATTAAAGCTTGAGTTATTGCTTGAAGATTTGTCTCCCCTGCTAGAATGTAAGCTCCTTAAGGCCAGAGACTGTCTCCAATTTATCCCTGTATCCTTCCCACCCCAAAGCCCAGCAAAGCATCTTGCCCCTTACAAGTCACTTCAGGCATAAACGGTGGGATTATCTACAGGTGAGAAGTGGAAATGAGATGTAAGATCCCTGAATAAAACATCACGGGGCTTAACTCAGGCCCACTTTGTAAAATTTAGTTCAATTCATTAGATTCAATTCAAGCAAGATTTTCTTAATTCCACAACTCGTAAGTCTGTGTGATAAGT